TCAATTTGGCTCTGTGGAATATTAAGGTCAAGATCTAGTAAATGAAATATGCCTACAGATTTATTAAGTCTGAGAAATAAATTCCTTTATTGATGCTTTACAACTTTAGGTTGGTCAAGTAAGGTGTTTCGGGGCATAATTTGTAGGTAAACAAGATGAAAAACTGTATTTTAAACTGGCATTTTCAATGCAAAATTAAGAGAACAAGTCATGGATATGGGAATTTTATCATATTCAACAAAGGAAATGCATCCAGATTGTCTACAGTCTCTCAGAAAACGGTAATTTGTTTGTTCATGACCTCTTCTTTAAAATAATACTAGTATCAAATTTTATATAGGTACCCGGTTTACTTTTCTTCCAATGTCATGAAAATACCATATTTTCTACACAATTCTGCTAAAGTATGGGAAAAAGAAAGTTGAAATTGATTATGTCGTCGTAATTGATCTAGCACTAAAAAAAAATTGCTAACTGTATAAAATGTAATAAGCCTTTCTATGAATGTGCGTTTCTTTGCTCTAATGGCATTTAGTTAGAACATTTTAATATTGTTTTTCTTTAAAATTGGGAGAAAAAAGTTTGTATAATTATGAAAGGTATTGTATAGCTTTGATTTCGTTATTTAAGCTTAAAAGCTTTCAGAAATAACACTTCAAAGCATAAGGCAGCTTGATAGTACCCTTATATATTTGCCTAACAAGAATATTCCTACCAAAACGAATGTTTTTGCATCAAAAAATGACAAGGGGTCATTATTCTACGGGGTCATTTTTCTACAATGCACACGGAGAAAAACGACCCCAAGGCCATAATTTCTACAGAAAAGTGGGTCATTTTTCCACGTAGAATATTGACCAGGGGTCAAATTTCTACGTAGAAAAATGACCCCCGGTCAATATTCTACGGGGGTCACCTTTCGTCGTTACACCGGCCTCATTAGTGTACGTAGGAGCAGATGTCTAGTTGGTCAGTCACGAGCGGGGTGATCACTATTGTCATACAGTTCCTAGCTTGTGTTTATTCCAATTTATAAAGATGAGGTAGCTGAGGTGCATAGTATTAAAAATCAATGTATGAACGTTACTAAGTTCATTTTTTTTTAATCTAATCCAGATTGGACATTCAAGCATTTTATTGATACCTTTCAAGTTAAATCGTTATAAAATGACTGCATCAACAGCTCACAACCATGTAGCGTAATTTTCTATGAATGTATTATATACCTTTTAGAATTTATAAAATTCAAAAGTTAATATATTGTTATTTATTTTGTTATAACAAATCATCAAATTAAACAGAGAGTCAATGCCTTATTCGCGAATATTGGGTAAGCAAGAATTTTGATTTCTTATAGCGAATGTGTACTGGTCGGCATGGGATTCTTGCTCCTCCAAGGCACCAGATTCTGCCTCTGTTAATCCTAGTCCTTGCTTTGCCCTCTTTAATATTTGAATTATTCATAGATATTTTAGAGTTCAATCACGGTTTGCTATATATTTAAATACATTCAGTACAAATTGATGGAGTGAATTCTGAACTTTAAACGAATAATTTAAACAAGGTATGAATGCGCCTGGAATACTTATTAATGATACGTAATAAAATTTAAGACATTCCGCATAAAAATGATATCCTTAACGACAACCTTTTGAGATTCGATGATAGGGTCGTAACCATGATTTAAAAATAAACAACTACTAAATACAATATTTTCTTGTTGGAGCTGCTTGATCAGAGGTTGGGAGAAAGTTTTTCAAACTTGCGAGGAAACTGTCAGGAAGATGTCACAGAAAACAATGGAACAAGATATGGTCAACCGAGATCCTAACGAAATAAACTCGCATGTTAAGGTCAGTTTTTATGTAGAATTCTCCTGTATTATACATTTTGTTCATTATAATTTTTTTACCTCATGGTCACCACTGTAGTTGTGTCAGTAGAGCGTTCCTTCCCTGATCAGGACGTATGTGTTCGAATCACGGCAACGATTGATCAAGTCGATAAAAAAATAGGTAGCAAAAGTTTCAGGTTTTTCGGATGAGACCTTAAAAAACCAAGTCCCCTTTCCACTGAGGTCCTTGGCACGATAAAGAGGTATCACTGCTCTAAAGTCTTTGTGCCAAGTTAAGGTCAAAATGTGAAGCCCCTCTCCAATATCGGGGAGTATCTATGAGTGAAAATCTTTTAAACCGGACGTAAAACAGCATACAAACAATTAAACAGTTTATTTTCCTCATGCGTCTTCCAAAAAAACGGTAAGAGATATCAAATTGAAAATGCATATTCTTCAAGGTAAATTTCTTAAAATGTTTTTTTCGTGTTTTGTAAAAATCAATAAAAGAATAGAATACCATAATAGTATACTATTTTGACATTAAACAGATCATACAAGTCTAATTTTGAAATCATAGAATATGTTTTATTGGAAAATTCAGTTAAATTCCTAAATAGGGAATACCAAGTCTTAGATTTACTGCGTCATACTAAAACAAATGACCCCCTGCATAGATAATGGTGTGGGGATACATATGGGATGTCCGTTTGTCCGTCCATCAGTATGTCCGTTCATTTGTCCATTACGATTTTGGGGGACTAGTGTCTTAAGCGCAATTCCTTATATCATTATTAATGAAATTAAATGATGAACTTTAAAAAAAATATCATTCAGTCAAATGCTGACTGACGTTTTTCATATTAATCGTTAGGCCATTATTTACAAACTGAATTGATAACAGTTTTTTTACATTTCCCATTTAGTGAAAGTGAAGGGGATGCTTTACTTCGCACTTGATTCCACAACTGATGTTGTAGATCTCCGTATTTTTTTTTTTATTGTTAAATTCGCTCCGTCACAGTTCTGTTTAAGAAATTTTCCTGTATTCTTTGAATTTGCCACGTTTTAAATTCGCTCAGCAACGGGTAGGGCAAAATGGTTGAAAATAAAACAATGGCAAAATGTTCCCTGTAAACAGTAAACTAAATGGTCTAAACTAAATTACCGTTTAAGCATACATGTATAAATCATGCAATTTTCTCTAAATGTCTTAATACAGGTATTATTTATTTTTATTCTCAAATAAATTTTTTATTCGATTTTCAAATAGAGAATCTATTTTCTTTATAAAAATGTTATTCCAACATTTATATTGTAGGTGGCATTTGAGGATGTGTTGGCTGAGCCAGATGGCGCCCACAGCATTGACTGTGTCTGGAAGGCCAGCTTCTTTTGCTTCAACTGCGGCAAGAACTGCTGTTACAAATTGATGACCACACTGCGTGGGATTTTCATCGCTCTGTCCTGGGGCTGTGAGTTTGCCTGCATCACCTTTGATCAAGTCTGGTGTGTAACTCCCAATCTCCGAATCTTCAGCATCTACATGGGGTGCGCTCAAAAGTACTTTGGAACGTGTGTTTCCTGTTTTTTGGCGCCAATCTGTGAAACGTGTGGTCTCATGTTTAGCAGCATAACTGTGAAAAATGCTTGAGTTTGGCATTGACTTTGAATCATGTGAGCAACATACTTTAATTATTTCCATAGCAAGTATAATTGAATTCTCTGTATTGTTATTAACCCATTTCTTTTTAAGACAAAAATAAAATATGCTTTGTTTTTTATGTTTTAACTTATATTTAGAGAATCTTTTACATTGATAATCTTTTTTCTACTTACAGGTCGTGTTATTATTAATGGTTCGAATTCAAAAATGATTTGTAAAAGCAGCGTAAAGGGTGACTTCTAATATTTTTATTAAAATGAAAATAACATATCAATCAAACATCAATTCACACAAATGATGATTCGATCATTTGACTGTAAAAAACTTGTTAAAATCTTAACAAACATCACCGAATTCATTTGAAGTGTGTGGAGGAAAATGTTATATATCAACCGTCATATCGTTCTATAACATTAGTAAAGCCTAGGTTTGTCAGGTAATAGACACGGATTGCAACGCTTCACCCCGATTTTATAAACCGTTAAGAAATCGTTATGCTATTACGATTTTTTGGCGCGAAAAACAAAATGCGGTTGTTTCAAATTATGAACGGTTCAACAAGGTGTGGACACGGTTTCATTAAGGAACATACTTCCACTCCATCACACTGTTACAACCACGGTATGTGTGATCCTTGTAATGCGACGGTCTCACTGGTGATTGCTAAGCTACTGTTACGGCCAGTCAAGTTAATTACAACGCCCCACGGCTTTGTGCGAGAATGCCACGAATGAAGAAGATTTTTTTAAAAGTGTTACATCTTTAGCAAGTAAAAGACATTGGGGAAAATGTAGTCGTCATTGGTTCTCTGTACATGTAACCACAATAACATTTTCAATTATACCGATATAATATAATGATGAAAATCAAATGTTACATATACTATTTCATTTCTTATTTTAAAATACAAGTGGCTCGTTTTTTTTATTTTTTAAATCCTTATACAAGTTATATTTACGAGTATTTTCAGATAACTGTTATGTATGAGAAATACATACAGATGTGTTAAAAGCTATGGAAATTTTTTTATTCAATATTTCTAGATCTATTCTATATTAACATTTTATGTATATTCACTTTTACAATAAAAATCAACGTGTTTTCATTCAATATTTTTGTGATTTATTCAAATTTATTACGTTGCCAAGACACTCTTCCTGTAATTGAGTGTAGTAGCTAAGGTCCTGATATATACCCGGTTTAGATTTAACTGGCGGCCATTTGGAAGGGTGTTACCACTACTAAGTATCATTTGCTATAAATTTGGTAATCTCTCAAGTTCTAGAAATGATGTTACGGATGAAAGATATGGAGATTGAATATTAATGTCATTTTTTAAAACATAAAAAACAGGGAGAAAAGCAAACACGGACCTCTAAAATATCAGAGGTTTTCATGTGCCAAGGTGGGGGGAGCAGCCCCCGGTCACATCCGCTGTGTTCTCCTTGATTTGATCGGCAAATAACAAAAAAGGCAAAAAAAGTCATCTGAAAGTTACAAAGTGAATTTTTGTTTTCATTAGCTGGGATTGAATGTGTTGCTGGTAATCCTTTCTAATATACCATATAAACTGCTTCATGTTTGTCAAATTAAAGCGCATCGATACTTGCGCAAAGGCCCTGAGTGCCAAGCATAGGACAAAATTTGAGCCTAACGGCAAGTTACGCTGTTTATGACGTGAAAAATTTGCTTGTCAGAGAACGTTTAACATACTATCAATCACAATCTGTCACTTGACATCAAGCAGGCAAACTGTTGAAATGAATGTATTGAGCATTGAGTCCTCTACAAAAATTGTGAAATTCATGGTCGCCGGGGTAAACGGGTTCTATTGCTAGGGTGGGGCTATATAGATTTTATAGAGAAAATGCATGTATTCTTTAATAATTACTTCTCTACTTCTGGGTTTAAATAAACTAACTAAGTGCATAGTTATAATGAGCAAGATTGCCTCTTTTAAATTTGAGAATATAATGGCTCCAGGGCCAGGGGTTCTGGTGTAAGGGCGGGGCTCTGTTGATTATATAGCAATAAATGCATTTATTCTTTGAAATTCTTCTTCTCCGCTTCTGGGTATTAAATTAAGTACATGTAACTAAGCACATAGTTATAATGAGCAAGATTGCTTCTTCCAATATTTTGAATTTTATGACCCCAGGGTCAGGGGTTCTGGTGTTAGGGCGGGGCTCATTTGATTATATAGTGAAAATGCATGTATTCTTTTAAAATTTTCCTCTCTGCTTCTGGGTATTAAATAAACTAATTAAGCACATAGTTATGATGAGCAAGAGTGTGTCTTTCAAAATTGTGAATTTTATGGCCCCAGGGTCAGGGGTTCTGATGTTAGGGCTGGGCTTTACTTATTATACATGTATAGTGAAAATACATTAATTCTTTGAAAATCTTTTCCTTTGCTCCTGGGTTTTATGCCAACGAACCAAGCATATATATTTATGATGAAGAAAGGTGCATATAACGAAATGGTTATTTTTTATGACCCCTGGGTCGGGTGGAGGGGGTACATAGTCTGAAAATAAATAAATGCTTTGAAATCTGCTCTTTGATATCAATCAACCATTTTATGATAAAATTTGCAAAATTTTGAAATATGTTGCCCCAGGGTGTTTCCTTTAAAGTGAGGTGCAAAACTGGTTATAAGTGGAAGTGCATTTTCTCTTTGTTACTCTGATTTACCTCTGGATATTAAGTAAATAGAGTAAGCATGTTAAGTTTATAATTATGATAGGCAATGGTGCCTCTTTCAAAATTGTGAATTGTGAATTTCATGACCTCTGGTTTAAAACACGAACCAAAGTTAATTGTTTGGAAGTTGTTACACAATACCCAGGTGACCTATAAGGCCCGTGGGCCTCTTGTTATCTCTAAAATGTGTTTGTTGATGAAATGTGAAAAAAAATATTTCAAAGGCTTTTATTAAATACTAGATTATTTGATTGAAAGTGAAATGGCTTATTAATGATAGTGAAATACATTATTGATCTAGCAATTTCGTTCATTTATACAGAGAGAGAGAGAGAGAGAGAGAAAGAGAGAGACAGATTTGAGACTTTCTTTAAAAAGAGAGAATGCTGTTTTTTATCTTCATATATTTTTTCCCTTTTTGATAAATCATAGTCTGAAGCATTGAAAGTTAAGATAGAAAAGATTGATTGATCTCATAACACAAGCCATGGAAATGAGCATAAAGCACCATCTCATGCAAACATCAGCGTATAATCAGGTGTCAAGGGGTAGTAAGTGTTCCTTTTGGGGCCATCATAATGTTTTAGAATGATTAGTATCCCTGCTAACCATTCAATTAGTTTTTTAAGTTTCACTATGATACCATTTTCATTTAATGTAAGAGGAAAGAAAAAAAAATCATCAGTCTTAATTGACACATTATCTAAACTCCATCTTTTTCTCTGTGTTTAATCTGATAAAAAGAATAATTTTTAGGGACTTCTTTTGTCAAAAAGTTTAATATGTAACAATTATTATTGCTACGAAAATTTGCTTAAAAAATGGAAATGATTTCAATTAAGGTACACTTCTTTCCTAAGAAACAGAATCAGTTGTATTAATCCATTTTCAAAACAAGGAGCAGCTATGAGAAACTTTTAAGGATGTTTTCTTCTACGAGACACTTGATACCACTTCTGGTTCGCGTTTGCTCAGATCACAATAAGATTTTAAAACATGCTTATTGTTTTGCTATCCATTTTATTTCAGGTCTCTTCTCTGACTACCATGTGTCAGTGAATCATCAACAGTGAAATCACAAAGAGATATTATCTATCCTTTTAACAATATAAAATTGCTCCATTCTAGATGCTCTAGATATTTCAGAAGAGTAAAAAGAGGTATAGAAATTAACTTTTTGAAATTCATTTGATCTTTTTGTCGTCAAAAGATTTAAAGCTGGAAACAGAGTGCAGTGTTTAATGATCTTTATTGAAATTGCTTCTTGAGTGTTCCTTACTATTCAATGATGTTTTCATCTTGCATATACGAATGCGCTATTTACAATCTACAAAAGGACAAGAAATTAATTTTTCAAAATCAATATTTCTTATGCTTTCCATTTAAATTTCTTTCGAATCTTACGTTTTTATTCTGTCAAAATTTTGCGTGAAGATATTGAACAGGACATTTGTCTACTCAACCAGTGTATGTCAAAAGCAGGGATTTATGTTAATAAATACCTAACTGAGATTCAACTAAGCGTTAAGACTATCAAGGAGCTATTTTATTGATTTCCTCCAAATATTCAAATGATATATTGTTTGCTGCACTAAAAAAAATTTATAGCCTTTATAATATTAGATGACATTCGGATATGTTTTGACAACGGAAGGTTACAAGATGTTAGTTACTAAAATCCGAAATAAAACTAATTGTACAGTAGACCGCCGATTATTTGGTGGGCTATTAGATCGGATAGAGGTATGCTCCTTGCTGCAAAAACACGTTTCTCTGAAAAAAAAATTCCTTAGGGTAATCAATGTTTATCTTTCATCTGCACATTTATATCTAACTGGAATCAGTATTTATGTTAAACTGAGAAATAATTTTGTTTTCCTGATCAAATTTATAAAGTTTTTTAAACAATATCTTTTAGACCTTGGAGTGTAGTCAACATGTCACAAGAAAAAGAACTAGATATGATCGACAGGGATCCAAACGCACTTAATGCTCACGTCAAGGTAGGTTTTGCATAATTTTTAAATTAATAATTTTTTATTCAATCTTTAAAGTTTTCCCGTCCTAAATATTTAACTTTGATAAAGTCTATATCTATAGGTTTTTCTGTTTTAAAAAACCTCTTTTATATTTATTAATGTCAGGAATAATATATATTATGATATACTACAAAAATGAATGGTGTCGATTGATATATTGCATCCATATGGGGATGATTAAATAGTTATTTGATACTGAGTTTCCATTTTTGAATTTCCTTTTCGATTATACGCAAACCCTTTCAAAATCCTGAAAAAAAATCACACATTGGGGTTTCTTATAAGTGAGAACAAATATAATGATGTACGGACCACCCATAGCTTGTTAATTTTCTGAATTTCCGATTTTTATGAAAAAATTAAAAAACCTCATGAGTTAATTGTGCTAAAAAAATCATAGCAAACCATCTCAGCAAGGGTATCACATATCACTTATGAAAGATATACTAAATCCCTTTATTTTAAAAGTAACTGAAATTAGAAAGATCGGCATAGTAAATTTCTCATCATCTGATGTTCTCTGAAAATCTGTGTAGTAAAACCCAAACCTGGTTTTATTTTTAAAAAAATTACAATATACAGTTTTGCAATTTGATCTATATTGATTTTGAATAAAAAAAATAATTCTGTAAGTACTTCTTCTACCAAATTTTATATTATAAGTACACGTATCCTGTCTAGAAAGAAAATTTTAAATCTTAAAGATAACGATAGAAAATTTGACTTCATTTTGCTTTTTTTGGTTTTTGAATTAAGGTAGCATTTGAGGACGTTTTGGCTGAGCCAGATGGCGCCCACAGCATAGACTGTGTCTGGAAAGCCAGCTTCTTTTGCTTCAACTGCGGCAAGAACTGCTGTTACAAACTGATGACCACACTGTGTGGGATTTTCATCGCTCTGTCCTGGGGCTGTGAGTTTGCCTTCATCACCTTTGATCAAGTCTGGTGTATCACTCCTTCACTAAGGATCTTTAGCATCTATATGGGATGTTGCCAGAAGTACTTTGGCACGATGGTAACGTGCTGTTTAGCGCCAATCTGTGAAACATGTGGTCTCATGTTCAGCAGAATAACTGTGTCAAATAAATGATTGTTATCATGTTTTTATGGATTAAAATGTGATATTCGCCTCAATTCTGTGATAGACTTTTTTCGATAAAAACAAACTTATTGTCAAAATTGTTTTGTTTAATCAATCTATTACATTTTAAAAAAAAATATCATTTGTAGAAAAGTATTTGATATGTACAAAGATTTATCTCGCTTTGTTAATGCTTATCATAATGGACCAATATATGCATTAAAAAATGTTAGAGGATTAGTTTGGGTGTTCATATAATTTTATAAACTGTGGAATCATATTTTTTCGGGGGACCGATGTTCGTGAATTTGTAGGGTCAATCTTACCCACAAATTAACCACCTTACTTACGGAGTTTTGGAAACTGATTTATTTAATTAACTGTATATACGAATAACCCACGAAATAACTTCCCCATGAACAAGTAAATTAATATTGCTAGGTCATGAACATAAAACAAGGTTCTACAGTATACTGTAAATGTATTTTATATAGCATGTACGCTTTTTGGCGGAAATTGTTTTTTAAACAAATTAGCGTAGATTTTAATTCGCGCTTTCGCTTTATATGAATATATAAACACAAAACATAAAGTGATGTACTTAATTTAGCAGATGATGCTTTCCGCGAGAGGCGCTAAATAGAATGCGCAGCCAAATGTAATACGTTTACAGTATAATAATATAAGATCTTCTGTGATTTCGTGGATGGATATGATTTTTATTCAACGAGGTGTGTTTTTTTTAATCTCCGACCCTTGACCATAACCCATGTTTTATATATTGATCACTTTCAATATTTCATACAAGAATGAAATATATAGAGATAATGAACTATATTTAAGCTCAAAGGTTCATTAAATAATACAAAATAGGAGCAGAGCAGACACGGATCCACAAAACATCAGAGGTGGAATCAGGTGACATGGAGGAGTGAGCATCATGTCGAACGGTCAAACCCGCTGATTTCTCCTTGTCATGATCGGAAAATAACGGAAAATACGTCACAATTAAGTATGTATATAATGGCCTAAAAATAAATATGAAAACATCAGTCAGCATTTGACATTATGATTAATTGTTTTCGGTGACAAGGTATTTGTTTCGACCATAGATCTTATGAAATGATGAATTTAAACGATACTGCTGATATTCTTGTTGTAAATAACTTATCTAGTTTTATATAAAAAAAAAATGTTCATACGTATAGCATATTCTTGCCTTCCGTATTGAATAAACTGAGAAATATAAACCTTGTATGCAGGTGATGAAGGTAATTTTTTAACTTTATCACTTCCATGCAACCAATTGTGACGTCACAACTCCGGGATTTAAATAAAATATCCAATGGATGATATCCACGGGGAAAAGGGTAAATACGTAATAAATATAATAATTCTAAAAAATTGCTTTTCCAATATCAATTCAAATATAACGGGACAAACCCCATATGACAATTCAGTACACAATAAATGTGCATATGAATTATAGAACCTGTACACAAGGGATAGTTTAATTTGGCACTTTGTATCATTGACTTTACTTTTTAGTTTATCAATCAAAGATACTCGCAAAATGTTCTTCCGAAAAATAAGCAGGCAGCCTTCAAAATCATATTTCTCATGTAATTTCTTTTTAACTTGTCAATTGATTTAGACTATAAATGAGTTAAACAACACACTGGATTCACAGAGAAATTTACAACTGCTTCCTGTAAATGAGACCTAGGAAAATTTCGTATGCGAATCACTTGTAAATATTATTGTTACACGTAACATAGAAATCAATTTTCTATTGTGAACAGAAAAGACATCTGTTTATAAATGCATATTATCTTAATCCAATGATGATATATTGTTATTGACTCTAATATGAAAAGGATTTTATTTAATTTAGAAAATACACATTATTTTATTTATATTGTTTGATTATTTGAAAAAAAAAACGATGCTTAAAACAAGATCATTTAGTATTTCACTAATTTGAATTATACGCTTTATCGCACATTCTTTCATAAAAAGATTTTTAACCAAAATAAATGTCTTATCATGAATACCCCATTCTAGCCTAGTTTCTTTGATAACTGTATCTCCTTTTACAATCTCTAACAAAATGAAAACTGATCTTATAATTTGGCACTTCAAGTAACAACTGAAAATACTGTCATGTTTCTCAAAGCAGTGTTCCTAGTTGACAAGCAATTTAAGAACCGTCCTCTAATTAACACAACTACTATCTCCATGGTTATGCTACTTCACTAGAGTATAAAACCAAAGATCAAAATATACAGCCCCTTACAGAAAGCATTTTTGGATCCCTTGCTAAATCTTTGAAATAAGTTTTTCGGTTATATTTTCGAAATGGATGATTTTGGAAAAGAATTGGATATGGAAAGAAGGGATCCAAATGATCTCAACAAGCATGTGCAGGTAAAAACAATGCTAAAAACAATGCTTACTGGTGAATATTCACGTTACAGAACAAAATTAAAACATCTTTATTTGAACATATCAGATAACGCAGTTTACTAGAAAAAAATAATATCATTGTAAATTTTTTCGTATTAATGAAATATAAATGTTATAAACTAAAAGGCTACGATATGAAATGTGCAGACAAATGATTTTTTTTTAATTATTCTTGAAGAAAAAAAAACCCATAGAAATGTCATATTTGTCTTGTCAAGTAAACCCTTAAAACTGCAAAATTTTAATTTTTTTTAAATAATGGTGAACAAAAAAAAAAAAGAATGAAAATGAGAAAAAGGAAAAAAATATATTCTCCATAAAAGAACTAAGAAAACCTTTCATTACTTTCAAAAAAGTTAAATTTGCATGTAAAGATCAAATGAATAAAGGACATATGATACTTTTTAAAATATAAATGAAATATTTTTATACAAGAACTGTCCAGTCAAAAAATGGACTTTCTATATGAAAGTTTCAAAGAAGGAAAAATTCAAATCTTAGTTTTAATTTCTTGAGAAAGCATGCATACTTATTTTGATATCTATATTTTCTGTCTGTCAGACCGCTTTTAAAGACGTGCTTTGTGAAGGCATACTTGTATTGATATGTATGTTTTTTGTCTATCAGACCGCTTTTGAGGACGTGCTTGGTGAACCTGATGGGTCCCACAGCCCCGACTGCGTGTGGAGAGTCAGTGCTATGTGCTTCAAGGGAGGTAAAGCTTGCTGTTACACTCTCCTAACCGGACTGTGTGGGATCTTCATAGCCCTATGGTGGGGCTGTGAGTTTGCCTGTATCTCATTTGAACAAATCTGGTGCACCACCCCATCGCTGAGGGTCTTTGGAATTTATCTAGGCTGCCTACAGAAGTTTTTTGGTACCTGTGTATCCTGTTCTCTGGCTCCAATTTGTGAGACAGCGGGCTTGTGTTTAAGTAACATAACTGTTAAAAAGGCTTGACATAAAAGAGAACATCAGATACCTGTGCTGAATTCTACATCTGTGATACAACTGTAATTTATTTTAACTGTCCACTCGAAAAGAAGTTTGACGATGGAATAACTTGAATCACTTTATATTTCGTGTATATTCTACATATACTTCGAAAGACATCTAACTAGGAATTAACTTGAAACTATGCATTTTCTTTAATTAAATGTCTTTTGACTTTATTTCATGTATTGAATAAAACTAATTGTATTTTCATAATTTTTTTTTATTAAAAATGGAATGTAAAACTTTGGAATAAAGTGATTTAAAAGAGCTTCCCTTTTAATTAAACGACGTAAAATCCCAGGAAAAAGAGAAATAATTACAAATAGAAAAAATATTACAAGTATAATATTGCGATTAAATGCTGTATGGAATATACTATTCTGAAATTTACCGCTTTATTGTTGGGTTGATCTTAAAACTGAAAATGATGAAATACGTGTTCGATAGGAATTTCTTCTGTATAAGTATGACAGCGAAATATCTCTACAGGAATTCCGTCTATCCTAAAGGAAGCAATTTAAATTCTAAAATAAATATATCACACTAAAATAGATATTGGTGTAGATAAAATTAACAGAAATCGAATTCCATAAAGAAAATCTTAGATTAAAGAAAAGACAGCGCCTCAAATAAACGACTTTTTAGCTCACCTGAGCCGAAGGCTCAAGTGAGCTTTTCTGATCAAAATTTGTCCGTTGTCTGTCGGCGTTGTTGTCGTTGTCGTCGTCGTTGGCGTTGTCGTTGTAAACTTTTCACATTTTCATCTTCTTCTCAAGAACCACTGGGCCAATTTCAACCAAACTTGGTACAAAGTATCCTTGGGTGAAGGGGATTCAAGTTTGTTCAAATGAAGGGCCATGCCCTTTTCCAAGGGGAGATAATCATGAATTTGTTAAAAATTAATGGCAGTTTTAAAAAATCTTCTTCTCAAGAACCACTAGGCCAGGAAAGATGAAACTCATGTGAAAGCATCGTCAGGTAGTGTAGATTCAAGTTTGTTCAAATCATGACCCCCGGGGCAAGGGTGGGGCCAAAATGGCCGACCCAAGTTTTACATAGGAATGTATAGGAAAAATCTTTAAAAATCTTCTTCTCAAGAACCACTGGGCCAGGAAAGATGAAACTCATATGGAATCATCCTCAGGTAGTGTAGAATCAAGTTTGTTCAAATCATGACCCCCGGGGCAAGGGTGGGGCCAAAATGGCTGACCCAAATTTTACATAGGAATATATAGGAAAAATCTTTAAAAATCTTCTTCTCAAGAACCACTTGGCCAGGAAAGATGAAACTCTTGTGGAATCATCCTCAGGTAGTGTAGATTCAAGTTTGTTCAAATGATGACCCCCGGGGCAAGGGTGGGGCCAAAATGGCCGACCCAATTTTTATATAGGAATATATAGGAAAAATCTTTAAAAATCTTCGTCTCAAGTACCACTGGGCCAGGAAAGATTAAACTCATGTGGAATCATCCTCAGGTAGTGTAGATTCAATTTTGTTCAAATCATGACCCCCGGGGCAAGGGTGGTGCCAAAATGGCCGACCCAAGTTTTACATAGGAATATATTGGAAAAATCTTTAAAAATCTTCTTCTCAAGAACCACTGGGCTAAGAAAGATGAAACTCTTGTGGAATAAGAGTAGTTGGATTCAAGTTTATTCAAATGATGACCCCCAGGGCAAGGGTGGGGCCAAAATGGCTGACCCGAGTTTTACATAGGAATATATAGGAAAAATCTTTAAAAATCTTCTTCTCACGAATCACTGGGCCAGGAAAGATG